TGAGGTGTAAGTTATTGCCTTGCTTGACCAATGCGTGACCAATGCTTGACAACTTGAACAAAAGGCCACTGTTTTCTCATCATCGTGTGAAATAACAGGATGAGAGTAGATTAAGTAAAGAGGTGTAAGTTATTGTCTTGCTTGACCAATGCTTGACCAATGCGTGACCAATGCTTGACAACTTGAACAAATGGCCACTGTCTGTCATCATTGTGGACATTGTGGTCTAACTGTGTTACTATTCGTACAGTTCTGATGCAATAACCCGACAGCAGCTTTGGCAATTGCTACATGGAAGTGCTTCATGGAAGTGTAACATTCTCACAGATCCTATTGCTGAGAGGTGGCGCAATGGTTAAGGCGTTCAACTGTTCCGCCAAAGATCCAGGTTCGATTTCCATACAGTGATACAATTTGTTAATCCTAAATTGGTTTCCCTTTTTATGATATGGCTGGAATGTTTCTGAAACAGGGACAGGACATACCCACACCATCATTCCTCCCTGTCTCCAGATGTATATTATATTATGGTGAGGAAGCGTAATGCCTACGATTAAATGTATACACATGTATCGTTTATGCAATACCGGCGAGGACCGGCAGACAGGAATGTTTCCTATTTCTTGATAGCGATGCAATGTAGGTAGGAACAGTAAATAGATTTGTAGTACATATTTGGTCGAATATTCAATTATACATCCGTCCTATTTTTCAAGATGTCTTGTGAAATTATGATACTAGTGTACATTAAATGTGAAGTGAAAATTATTTTTCAATTAATACTGTATTTGGTGCTGTAGTCATCTTGTAAGGTGTATATTTTGATTGTGAATATATTTGACGATTTGTTTATAACAACGTTAATTATTGCGTCTATGTGACCAATTGTGCTGTCTGAATTGGTGTATTATACAAACACGTAGATTCTTGCCACAAACAGTCTTTCATAAGGTTCGCGGAGCACGGGTGCCCCGAAATCTGTACGAATGCCATTATTATGGGTTCGAATCCAGGACTCATCCTGACTAAGATGATTGGTTTGTCTGCACCATACCAGGTTTATTAGTGTCATCAAAGTGGGAAACATCAAAGATCTGGATTATTATCAAGCTGACACAACATAACTGAACTCTGTTGAAAGATGCTCTTGAACGATCGATGTTAGAAATGCAGGTTCATTTCACAAAAAGACAGCACAATGAAAGTTTAGTTGATATCACCTTGTAAATATTTTTTTAGTAACTTCTGTTTCACTCAAAGTCTAGCTAGGAGGTATATTGGTTTCGTTATGGTTTATATATGCATGATATTTATCAATATGTGTCCATGTATCTTTTTCATAAGGATTTAAACAAAAGCGAAGTCAGTATTGAAAATGTGATGATTAACAAATGATCTAGTTTAATCTTGAATCATAATCAGTCCAGAGTTGCATCCCTTTGTGCCTTTCGTATTTTCTAAACAAAAAATAAAGGGAGACGACTCTGTATCAAATTGGTGCTGCCAGCCCATGTAACCATCCCAATCCTCGCCAGGCCTTTTGTTAGTTGATGGGGTTGGTTTGAACAGCTGAAAACGTGTGCCCTTGTTGTAATCCGTGGCTTGTCGGCTCCATACCGGTGCTCTTTAAGCCAGAGCTGTGATATTGCTGGAATATTGCTAAAAGCGGCGCAAAACCATACTCACTCACTCACTTTAAGCCAGACTTTTTTTCTTTTTAAGGGATTGACGGACCGTTGGACCTATGGACCCCAAATCCAGGTCTGTTCGTCGAAAATATTAAACATATAAAATCCTGGTCTTTGGGTAGGGAGCAATTTAATAAATAAAGTAGGTTTGGGAATATTTAAGAGAATGTTTAAACAGGTTTTAATTAAACTGTTATTAATAAATTATTTATATTGATGGCGACAGCAAATAAGGGTGTTGTTTTTCAACATTTTACTTATTTCTAGTCGACGGAACAAACAAACCAGCTTGTCATATTATTTACATTTCAATTTTAGAATAGGCGGATTCGAAGACAAGTCTATTACAAGAAGTCTAAAACAGAGTCTGGGCTTGGTTTTACTGAAGTTTTATTCAGCGTTCATTGCACAGTTTGGTGACTCACCGTTATGTTACTGACATCGCCACCAAGCCGAGTTGGACCCAACTTTCTCAAACAGTCACGTCTCTTGTGATACAAACTGTATTATTTGACGTCGCATTTCTTTGTTGGGTCAGAATATCGCATTAACAAGACTTAATACACACATATACTGGTCATTATTACAGCAACAGGGCCAGTCATTGCTGGACAGAGCAATACTCTACGTTTTATATACCTAGTTGCAATGTGAGTGTGAGTGAGTTTGGTTTTACGCCGCTTTTAAAACCAAACTCACTCAGTTGTAATAATTGTCCTCAGATAATGATTGTGTTCGTATTTTGTATATATGAATATTTATGAGTATAATTATATGGTGTAGAATTATACTCATAAATATTCATATACCATATGACAAGTTCAGTCAGTTGGAAACTATTTCTACTTTCCATTTGTACAGATTGTTATGGTACTGTTATACCAAGCTTAATAGCTGTGGTGCAAACTCGTGCTACTGTTTACAGGGATTATAAGCCATGACCCAAGGCGAGATACATTACGTGGTCAAGGATGCGAAAGCGTAACCGGATACAGGCATGTGTTCATAACACTGGACGAAAATCTGTATTTTCAACCGTGGAAAGAATATGTTGGCTCATTCTCGTTTCTTAAAGACTTTATGACCAATGATTTCATTTTCAAGAGTATTTTCAAACGTTGATCGCATTGATTATTTTTTAATCTTGTGTTGTAGTGACTTGTTCGATAGGCATTACTCAGAAGTTGACGGATGAAAAAGTAGACACAATTTATGGATAACAGACAAAGTAGACACAATTTATGGATAACAGACAAAGTAGACACAATTAATGGATAACAGACAAAGTAAACACAATTTATGGATAACAGACAAAGTAGACACAATTTATGGATAACAGACAAAGTAGACACAATTTATGGATAACCGACAAAGTAGACACAATTTATGGATAACAGACAAAGTAGACACAATTTATGGATAACAGACAAAGTAGACACAATTTATGGATAACAAGTAAAGTAGACACAATTTATGGATAACAATCTTCACTGGCTTTACAGTAACTAAAGAAGTTGTTATTCATTAATTGTGTCTACTTTGTATTGTAGTGTTTGCTACAGATTTTATGCTGTACATTTTCATACATAAACCATTGGCAATGGTTATAGTTGGGATGAAGAAATTCCTCCATGGAAAGTTTTGGAAAGAAAGTCTTTTTTAGGATCAGTTTTGATATTTGGAGCTATGGCATCGTTGTAACTTTTGTAAAAACCGTTTGTTAAACGATATTAATCCCTGAGAAAAATGGTTGCTTTCTGAAATGGTCCTAGTTACGTTTTCATGTCGCTTCCAATAACAGTGCCTGAATATTTGCTAGAATATTTACAACAGATTTGCTCATTGTATGTGTTCAACAGCCAGTTAGGGACCGGCCGTTTGATATTCTGGGAGATTGGAATTGTGTGGAGGAGACTATATATTTTCAGCAAAATCATTTTTTTTAAATCTGAGAGCCAAAATATTTTTGTCAAACAAACCATCTGGTATCAATAAATCTTTTGTTCGCAAACATTTCCGTACCTTCATCAGTTTGAAGCATAATTATATATTTCAAGCATTTTTATTTATATTTTCGATAAAACCCCAGCTCCTCCTTCCCCGAATATCAAATACTTGGTCCCTTATCTCTTACCGATATGCAATTTGTAAATACTATTATATATTTAAATTATTTATAATACAAAACTTATTTGTGATAAGCAAGATCGCCATTAAATCTTTCATGCGCCTATGACACGGATCGGGTCGGCCTTTTCAATGTTCATGTACCTGTCGTTTAAAATAATTACTGTATAGTCGTTGCTTCTATTGTTGTTTCCCTGTGCGTTTTGTTGATGAGGATATGCGGAAATACTTGTGTTCATGGTCATATCACACGTGTTTGAACCGTCCGCAGCTATGTTATATCAGCATATCCACGCATGCCGCCGTTTGTAACGCCCCCACAAGTCACTGGGGCCGGAAGTCGGTGACCGAGGAAAGCATTTCTTCAACAATGACAGGGGCGGTCGGGTAGCCTAGTGGTTAAAGCGTTCGCACTTCACGCCAAAGACCCGGGTTCGATTCCCGACATGGGTACAATGTGTGAAGCCCATTTCTGGTGTCCCCCCGCCGTGATATTGCTGGAATATTGCTAAAAGCGGCGTAAAACCATACTCACTCACTCACTCACTCAACAATGACAGCTATGTGTCCAACCATAGGATAAGGGACCTTACGGGTGAAATATCAGACTTTGACTTTTCATTCTATTTTAATAATATAGTATCTCCGGAACACAAAAATGCAATTCGCAATTCATATTTATTAACGAGAGACACGACAAGAACAGTTGGTCTCATTTTCTGGGTCTATTTATGTAATAATTACAGTTTTTAGACTTAATGTCAGATGAATTGAAAAAAGACATGTAGCTGAATGGTTTGAAAAAATGTTTTTTATTACATTACGAACTAAGTAGAGAAAAATAAGATATCTTTGTACAGTCCGCATACATGACGTCACAATACAATTGTATCCTTGCACCCATAAGGTCATAAGGCCATATTTCTCCTGGTGGGCCACATATAAACATTTGAGTTGGAGACTGTCCATTTAATATTTTTGCGTGGATCGATGCTCATGATATCAATCACTGGATTGTCTGGTCCAGACTCGATTATTTACAGACTGCCGTCATATAGCTGGAATATTGCTGAGTGCGGCGTTAAACAACAAACCAACCAACCAACCATCCATTTAATATTTCCGGGGTTTTTGTTTTTTTGTTTAGGAACAGTTACTTCATTTTTATTGTGTTCTCTTTATTCG